GCTTATATGAATAAGCATATTCAATTTTTAACACATTTGTAATATTATCTGACTGTTAAAGTTTATCCGTTTATGTACAATTAATTCATTGCGTTAGCTGCTGTACGGTAAAAAAATTTAAATTTTTGTGGTTGTTTTCTGTGTAAATACTACACAAAAATGCGCTTACAAGGATAACAACATCGCTTTAAGGTAATATTTTCAACCAAGTATCTTTGGAACTAGGCATGGTTCGGGTAAAGAGGGGCATTTTCCCGCCTGGTTTAGCAGGTAGAAGCGATGAGTCTGGTAACATCAATGTGCTTTAAGCCGATCTTCCGTGACGATCACCGTTGTTGGTCGCGCTAATGTCGTATTCTTTTGCTTATGTTGAGGTCCGTCGCCCGGAAATGTTAACTGGGTCGGGTTGTACGTGGCACTAGCAAATACCTTGTCTACCGCAATTGTCTTGCAAAATACAAGAACACCAACGGCAACATTACCGCGATGGAAACATTTGCGTTCAATTCAGGCGGCTGGCATTTCACTTTGAACCATTTGAATACATTTAAGTGAGCGGTCGTCGAGAGTCCTGGTGGGTGCCACGGACGGTTCTTGGGATCGTAAAAAGTCACCTGCCGCGTTCCATGGAGTTTTATACTCCGGGCCCTGTGCTCGTGGGCCTGGTCGCGTGTTCACGCGCACTCGGACAGGATCGAAGCTCCTTACTCCGCCCGTCCTCCCTTGAGTTGACCGGGATGTGTCTGGTGTGCATTACACCCGTTGTAATTTTCACGAATCTTTTTTTTCAATAGAAAAAGTAGTGGTCGGCCGTTAAGAATCCTCTCTGGCCCATCGCTCTTCAGAAAACACTCCTGCGTTTTTACAGTGTCTGGGAAGAAATATAACGGGAGTGCTGTAACGCTCGGTTTCACTGTGAGACCTTCGTGTGGCAGGTAGAGTTGCAAGAATTAGCTGAGGAACCTTCTGGCTTCAGCTGCAATGAAAATCGCCATGCGCTCGATAATGGACGCCCGGCCCTGACTGAGCACTGCACCGCGAACGGAGGGAGCCCGTCCTCAGCTGGAGGCCCGGAGCACGGCAGTGGACGTGCTGAGTGGCGATGCTTCGTGACGTGTAGGTGTAGCGTGTTGTGGTGCTGACCTCGGTGTCTGCTACGCAGAAGACGGGTCTGCTCGAATCTGCATCGAAATCAATCAGGTGAATGTCTGAAATTATGTCAAAGGATAAAAGATGTTTAGCTTTAATGGTGCTGAGCGGAAAGGAAAAAATATTGATTTTAGTATGTGAGATTAATGCGCGACGTTTAGGTTCTGATGTTGAAAGAGCTTGAAGTTGTCGCACTCCATTCCTAACAAGTGTGTAAAATACACTGAAACAAACTGGAAAAAAAATCAAACAGTTGTTAAGATTTGTTGAGGCGAATCGAAGTACGTCACAGGGCTAACAGTCGCTGTCCCAAATCGACGAGAATAAGGGAATCTATATTATATACACAAATTTCTAATATTATTCTGTTAATGGTGGACCAGGTCACGGCAAAACTGGAGCAAGAAAGTCGTGGGAACCAGATCCTCGGACGACCGGAAAACCTGGACTGTGATGACGAGAAAAGCCGCGGGCCGGTGGGGACTTGCTGGAGCCACACGCCAGGCGCTTGGTCACTACGGTCCCATGGAACTGTACCTCCACGAGTCAAACCAGGTTCCCAAAGATAATAAATAATTCAAAATGCGTCCTGTGCTTCCGGCGGAGGGAGGAGACGCCTTGACCTGCAGGGCCCTTAGCGGGGTCTGCTTGGGGGAGTTAGAGGGGCGGGTTGGCTAGGACCCTGCCGGGTTTTATCAGTTCACCGGCCGGGGAGGAACGTCCAACCAACCCACACTGACGGCAAGGGAGAGCACAGCTACAGAGCAGAATTCCAAGAACTTGAGCTGGGGGACGCCTACAGGGGAGAATGTATCGTGCACGACGAGAACGCCAGGAGAAGAAAGGGAGAAACAGAAAAGAATTAAAATGACTGACGGCTGAGAATTGCACAACATGAGCATCAGAGACCAAACCTGCAGTCTTGGACCTCGTAGAGAACACAAGGCAGGATACCAGAGAAAGACAAAACAAAACCAAAAAAAGACAAAGGAAAACACTACACCCTTAGCATGGCATCCTCAAAGTTCGGAGTATTCAAGATTAAAAAAATCCGGCAAGAAGCCAGAGGAAAATCATGCTACTGTAGGGACAAAATGGAGGATTACTTCAACTCCTAACTGTGAACACAGGAAGAAAATGGAGTGGGATGTTCAAAGTTTTCGACGGAGGCGGAAAAGCACCAACCTAAGTTCTGCAGCTTGCAGATTCTTTTTTTTTTAAATTGACGTGCCAGGCATGCTGGCCCGACGCCTGTAAGCTAGCACTCTGGCAGGCGGAGGCAAAGGAGATCGTCTAGAGCCTCAGGATGTTCAGAAGCCAGCCTGAGCAAAGAGCGAGATCCTCTCTCTAAAAATGAAGACAATTAGCGTGGAAACTAAAATTATAGAAAAAGGAAATTAACCTAAGCCTAATCATTAGCCATGGTTTGGCCGTGCCTTATAGAGTCCCAAGCTACTCGGGGAGGCTGAGGCGCAGGATCCTGAGCCAGAGTTGGAGGTGCTGTGAGCCAGGCTGAGCATGGCGCTCAGCGGGCAACAGAGGAGACTGGCTCAAAAAGAAAATAAAAAAAAAATTCTCAAAATTGATGTATAACACTGGCTTCCAGATCCCAGAAGTTCAGTGAACTGCCCAGCAGAACAAGTAACAAAAGTCTCACCTAGTTTTCACAGTAGTCTGAGTGCTGAAATCCAAAGATGAGAGGGAAACCCTGACCGTTAATCAGAGAAAAGACACAATGGCCAGGGAGAACAGCCTGTCGAATGATGAGTGCTGTATCTGAGATACGGAGGCGGAGGGCAAGTGGAAGGATGGCTCCCTGATCGCGGCCGGCGAAGCTCCTTTGGTACACCGGGCTGAGATGACGCAGCTGGAGGAGACCCGAGGTCACCCGGCACCAGAGCTTCGCGCAGACACGCGAAGCCTGTCCTTCGGCTGATCTACTTGAGTACACGCGAGATGGAGAGTTAGTGCGTATTAAAAGAAGGAACACGCAGTAGTGAAACAGGCTGGTATCAAACAGAAGAGCCGTGTTTTGTCCTGGCAATTTCTCTGACAACGTTGAAAAAGGCGTGTATCGGAGGACGGATGAGTGGTTTGGAGCTGCGTGTGCGGGTGACGTCCGTGGAGCCGGAAGCCGGTGAGAGCAGCGGTTGACAGCGGTCAGGCGTGCCCCGACTGGACGGCGTAGGGAGGGAGGGAGGGGAGGCCGTGTTCTGCGCTCTGGTGCAACCTGACCCAGCAGGATGTATATGTGGCTCGTTAGCTAATGGAGGGTAACCACCTGAGGGCTTTAGTGTAGGTAAGAACTTAACAGAGCCTGAAAATTGGAAACTCTTTAGGGGAGTTTGACGAATAAAAAATTAAAGCTCAGAATAAATAACGGTCGGACAAAATTATCGGAGGAATGACATTTGGAAAAGCTTCAAAATTATTTAGAGGTAAAACCCCTCATTAACGATGACAAGAATGTCAGTGGATATCCAAACGCACAGTTAAAATTGATCCTCAGATGAAACAGGAGATAATACTTAACATATATTCCTGACAGAGAGATGTGCTTTTAATTATTAGACAAACAGCGCTGGTTTTTAATTGTGCAAAAGCACACAGCGAAAGCATTCAAGCATAAGGTGAACGAATCCATATCTAAATCAGACAAAATTAGACAAGTATCGGCAATACAAGAAGGTTCGTGAGCAGAATGTGAGCAGTTCACCGGAAGACTCGGAACGGAGGATGTTCATACGCCGAGAGCCGACCATGATGTGATTTATAAACAGGAAATGATTAATAGAGCCTGGGGGGGGGCGTGGAGACGTGGAACACCCACATGGTATATTTGTGATTTTTTTATACTTCTCCTTAGTAAATTGTATGAACTTAACCAGAAAAGGGAGGAAGATCGTAAACTGTGCTGTCAGTCAGCTCAGTTAGACAGCCACACCGACTTGTGGCCGGAACACTCATTTACTGGCTGCTTGGAGTTTATTTGCAGTCCCATGGATTAATTCAGCTAGTGTGTGATTCGGTGTTTTGGTACTTGCTGTAGCGGGTGGTGAGCTTTCCACCCCACCCTACGCAGCCCTGGAAGCCACGGACGTGCTTGCTCGTGCTAGATTTCTGGACATTTTAAATAAGTAAAAAGCTGACTTCTATTCTTTAACTCTTAGAGTACTGTGTTCTGAGTTTGTCAAGTTGTTTCATTCTGCTGTCGAGTTCTTTAGATGGATTCTGTTCGTCACGTTTTGTTATCGCGTTCCAACGTCGTACAGTGTCTGTTGCACACTTTCATTTTTAGGCGCGTATTAGGAAATAGTTGTCGTAACTTTGTGTGCGATGTTGTTGTTACATAAATTCGTTTATCTTGGGTAGGTGTAGGAGTAGAATTGTTGAATAGTTGCTTGTAAGGTGTCATATTTAACTTTTAAGAGACTGCAAATTGTTTCCAAAATTCTTCCTGTTTATACACTCCGACCAAGTTACTGCGAGAAATGCAGTTTCTCTGTCGTCTCACCAGCATTGTATTTTTATTGTCATGTGTTTTATTTAATTTTATATCTATTTGATATGGATGGATGATAATTAACCATATCTTCGTTGTGTTTTTGTGCATTTCGCTCGACACAATACAGAACGATATGCTTGAGATACTAAGTGCCGTTGATTAACTGCCAGACTATTGTTTGTTATTTATATTTATTTTTTTCTGAGGACAGGAGTTCACCTTTTGTTGCCAGGTAGGAGGTCTGCCGTGGGGCGTCAGCCTCGCTCAGACATGAACTCTCTCACAACTACTTGGTTCAGCATTCCTCTTGTCTGGCTTCAGTCTCCTGACCGTAGCTTGGCTAATTGTTAATAGTAATAGTAAGTGTACAACTTAATTTATCAGATTTATAGTAAGACGGAGTTCCCGGGTCATCGGCTCTTTGCTCGGCTGAGTTTTGAAACTCCTGACCGTAGAGCGATGCCTCCCGCAGCCTACCCAGAGTGCTAGGATTGCAGGCGTGAGCCACTGCGCTGGCCAGCATTTGTTTTATTCATTGGTAAATTTAGCAGCATGGGTGGCACATGCCTAGTCCCAGCTCACTCGGGGAGGCTGGGCAGGAGGATCGCCTGAAAGGGGGGCCCCCAGGGAGTTTTGAGTTGCTGTGAGCTAGGCTGATACACGGCTGCACTTCTTAGCCTTTGGCAACACAGTAAACTCTGTCTGCTAGAACAACAACAAAATGGATTCCGAGACGGTGTGTACATCTCAGAGGTGTTCAAAAGTCGTGGTATGTGGGGTGGTGGGTCTTGCGTAGGGGCTGGAGAGGGTATGCGGGACGGAGGTAGACAGGGCGGTGGGTTTGCCATGGGGCGTGGAGAGGGTTTGGACGGGAGGAAGGCGGTGGTTTGCGTGGGGCGTGAAGGAGGGGTGGGGACGGTAGACAGGCGTGGTTTGCCATGGGGTGGAGATGGGTGGAACTGCGGTGGTTGCCATGATCGGTGGATGAGGTGGGACGGGGAGACTGGGGCGGTGGGGTTTGCGTGGGCGTGGAGGATGGGGAGGGAGACTGGCGGTGGGATTGCCGTGGGGGGACCAGAGGTAGGGGACGGGAGGAGCTGGCGCGGTGGGTTTGCCGTGGGGCGTGGAAGGTGGGACGGGAGACTGGGGGTGGAGTTTGCCGTGGGGCGTGGATAGTGGGAGGAGACTGGCGGTGGGTTGCGATGGGCTAGATGTAGGGGGACGGAGATGGTGGTGGTTTTGCCTGATGGTTTCGTGGAAAGAGGTGACGGGAGACTTGTGGGTGGTTTGCTGTGGGGTTGAGGGGGTGGGACGGGAGGAACTGGCTGGGTGGTTTGCGTGGCTGGAGAGTGGGGTGGGAGGAATCTGCGGTTGGTTTAGTGTGTTGTGAAGGCAGGACGGGCGGTGCGTCTGTGTGAGCAATGGGGGTTACTAAAAACGGGAGGCTCGCTGTTTCGGCGATCAGCGAGCGCCTCTCGTGCCAACCCTCTCGGCTCGGCGACAGGGGCTCGTGCAGGGCGACTCCCAGGGCACCGACCTCCCAGCCAGGCAGCATACATGGCAGCATCTGGACAGCCTGCCATGCTCACGGCTCCACCACCTCCAATCAACCTTCCTCCTTCTCTCACGCAGAGCCTTTCCAGCGGCGTCCGCCCACCGGCTGGCCGAGTCCTGGCCGACCCACATCGGTGAGCGCCAGCGCGCGTCCTCCATCGCTGCCCGTCCTACGCGGAGCCCTATGGGCCTGGCAGTGGCTGTGGACGACAGTTTCGGGGGGCTGTGCTCGGCCTCACCCCGGCCCCACCGCACCGGCCTCTCCCGACCCCGCCTCCCCACGCCCACTTTCTCTCCACGCGGGAATGCGGGGCTCTGTGTTGGGGAAGGAATCCCCGAGAGCAGTCCTTACAGCAACTTGCAGCCCCATCTGCTCACGTGCTTGCTCCTTGCTTCCGCTGAAAGATGCCCCTAAACCAGATGTGAATACCGTGTCTCCCCGAAAACAAGACAGGGCTTATTTCCGGGGCTTATTTTCGGGGGATGTGTCATTTTCCCCTCAAAGCCTCAGCTTGCAGCACACACGGGGTGGCCGGGACCTGACGGGGGGAGCCGGCCTTGTTGATGGGGCTGCCCGCACCTTCCCGGTCCCCTCTGGGACAGCAGCTGTCACGACGGGGCAGAGGAGAAGGGCTGCTTGTGTTTCTCACCTTACGTTGCAGAAGGGCGAGGCCGCCCACGTTGAACTTGCTGGCCGTGGCTCACGTGGCCTCTGGAGCAGCCGCCGGGGCCAGGGCCCACCTCACGCTGTGCTTCTTTGCAGAGAACCACTCCGCGCCCCCCGACGTGACCACGTACGCACCCGAGCACGCCGTGCCGGCCGAGCGGCCGCAGGGCTCCACCGCCTCCCGGACGGCGCCCAAGTACGGCAACGCCGAGCTCATGGAGACGGGGGACGGTAGGTCCGGGCCGAGGCACTCCGGCCCCCCGGGGACTGTCCCTGCGGTCCCGGTCCCTGCCGTGGCGCCACGTGGCTGAGTCTTGCGTCCCGTCAACGCCGGCCTCGGTGGTGCCCGTGGTCGACCAGAGGCAGCCGAGGGAAGTCCGCCCTCACCACCCCGCCCCTCCAGCCCTTGAGCTGGGCACGTCCCGACCACAGGGGCCCAGAGTAACATGACTCGGGCTTTGTATTTCTGTTTGTGCTGCTCTCCTTAAGCCCCAGTCCTTCCCGGGGAGCTGAGGGTGAGAGTAGGATCCGACAACAAGGCAAAGTCTGTCTGTCGCAAGACGGGACGTGTGGCCCCCTGGGCCACCTCTGCCCGAGACTCCGTCACTCTGGGCCCCTTCCCGGCCCAGAGTTGGTGCCCGGCCGGTGCCTGCCGGGCCACCCTGGCCTTGGAGGACAAGCTTGGTCTCGTGGGGTGGCGGGGCCGTCTGGGTCCTCCCTCTCGCTGGTTGATTTTGGATGATTTATCTTGAAATTTTAAAACTCTGTGGCCTTTTCGGCTATCTGTTCATTTAGTTTATTTTCAAAAGGACACGACATGCATCGCTGTAAGAAATAAACGCGGCTGGGTGCGGCGGCTCACGCCTGTCATCCCAGCACTCTGGGAGGCCGAGGCGGGAGGATTGCTCGAGGTCAAGTTCGAAACCAGCCTGAGGCAAGAGGCGAGACCTGTCCTCTACTATAAATAGAAATAAATTAATTGGCCAAGCTAATATATATAAATAGCCGGGCATGGGTGGCGCATGCCTTATCCAGCTTACTGGGAGGCTGAGCAGGAGATCGACTTGAGCCCAGGATTTGAGGTTGCTGTGAGCTAGGCTGACGCCAGGCACATCTAGCCCTGGCGCAACAGAATGAGACTCTGTCTTAAAAAAAAAAAAAAGAAGAAATGCGATGCAGGGCAGAGTGCATTCTTGGTGCACGTGGGCACACGCACCTGTCACCCAGAGGCTCCAGACTTGGTGGCACACTGGTGGATGGTCGTGGCAGGGTCTGCTGAAGGCCGTGTCTGGGCGGCAGTCCCGGCCTCGGCCTTCGTTGGGGAAGCAGGGCTGAGCCCCGGGGTCGTGGGGAGTCCCAGGCGGACGCGGGGCGCTCCTGCGCGCTTGTCCCCGGCGGGGTGTCCCCCGGCCCCGTCAGGCCTTGGGCTACCCTGACTGCCTCGCCAGCCGTCCAAGCCCCGGAGAAAGAGGCCCCGAGTCAGCACAAACGCGAAGGCCGTGCCTTGCAGGCGACAGACTCTGCCCTGAGGGTTAGAGGCGAGCGAGGTCACGCGTGTGCAGAGCCGCGGCTCTTCCTGACGCAGGGACTCCCCGAGTGTCAGAGTCCGGTGTGTGCACCGCCCGCTGCTGTGCCCCGAGTCTGTCCGCCCAGCGGACCCAGCCTTCGCCCTGGGCCGCGAGGGGGTCTGGGTCTCCGGTGCAAAGGGCGTGGGCCGTGCAGAGCGGCCCTGGGACAGCTCAGGGACCTCTGGTTTCGGGCCGTCGAGCCGTGGTTGCTTGTTGCATCTCTGGTTCCTCTCTTGCAGGAGTCCCCGTGAGCAGCCGGGTTTCCGCAAAAATCCAGCAGCTCGTCAACACCCTCAAGCGGCCGAAACGGCCGCCGTTACGGGAATTTTTCGTGGACGACTTCGAGGAATTGCTAGAAGCGTGAGAACCTTTCCCACCCCCATCACCTGGGAGGCTCCCGTGAGCCGGTAGCCTGCAGGTGTTTCTCCTACAAGGCCTTTTTGTGAAGAGCAGGGATGGTGGCCTTCCCCAGAGGGTGGGAATCCAGGGCGGAGGGTGGAGGCGGCCACACTCTGGGTAGATCTTCACAGCCGATGAGGTTGGTTCTGTGAGCCCAGCCGCTGCTTAACAGCTGTGTAAGATTGTAGAAAACCTCAGCCCGCAGCACAGCTCCGGTGAGCTCCCTCCTCCTGCTCTCCGCAAATGCGGGACCCGATCCCTCATGAGCCTTTGAACACGGACCACCGAAAACCGAACCAAAATACGGCAGCCACTGGTCACATCACACCTAAACTCCTTATTTTCTTATTCACTAAACCATTAGTAACACGTAGCTGATTTTCTGACCAGCAGGTGGAAATTGTCAGCTATAAACCAGGGGAGACAAACCTTTTCCAGAAGCGGGAGAAATAATCTCGGTTTCTAACCTATCTAAAGGATTCAGCAGGTGGTGTTTTATTATTAAAGATGATGGGCCGGGCGCAGTGGCTCACCCCTGTCATCCTAGCACTCTGGGAGGTCGAGGCGGGCGGATTGCTCGAGGTCAGGAGTTCAAAACCAGCCTGAGCAAGAGCGAGACCCCGTCTCTACTATAAATAGAAGGAAATTAATTGGCCAACTAATATATATAGAAAAAATTAGCCAGGCATGGTGGCACGTGCCTGTAGTCCCAGCTACTAGGAGGCTGAGGCAGGAGGATCGCTTGAACCCAGGTGTCTGAGGTTGCTGTGAACTAGGCTGATGCCACGGCACTCACTCTAGCCTGGACAACAAAGCGAGACTGTCTAAAAAAAAAAAC